AGCTAGTTATTTTTAAGAGAAATTTATAATTAAGTAGTTTTTTTTTCAAAAATAAAATAAAAATCAAAGTAGATTTTTTAAAATGAATAAATAATAATAATAATAAATGAAAATATTACAAATATATTAATATCTTTCGTCGAAAATACGCAGAATATTGATATTGGACTCAAACATATTTTTATTAGAGTTAATTATACATAAGCTTTTTTATTTTAAATTGATTTTTAAATTTTTAAATATTTTATATCAGTCATTAAATTATGATTTTATTTTAAATTAGTCTCTAAATTTTAAAATATAGTATATCAATTGTCAAACTATCAATATCATTCTATTTTGATCATTATGTTAACATATTATTCATTCTACTAGTTTTTGAAGGCCTTGAGAATTGAACTCATATTTTTTTAAGTATTAATATATTTTTAAGGTCTTAAGAATTGAACATGTGATCTTGTAAAAAAAAAATTAACCTATTTTTGAATTTTTTGAATTTTTGAAAAATCAAGGGTTCAATTCCTAAGAACTTAAAAAATAGATTATTTTTTAACTAGTAAAATTAACACACATTAATAGATTATCAAAATGAAATAATATTGATAGTTTAAGGATTGAGATAAAATGTTTTAAGGTTTAGGAATTAATTTAGAATGAGATCATAGTTTGGGAATTAATATATAATGTTTTAAAAATTAAAACGAGTGATATAGTTTGGGGACATCTTATGCAATTATCTCTTCTTATTATTGTATTGAGTAAAAATTAATAAAATAAAGAAATATTAGTAAAATAAAGAGAAGAGATCGAAGCATACCAAAACAAGTACCGTTAAGTAGATTCTCCGGTGTGGCAATCAATCATCCAGGTAAACGATTAACATGCCAACTAAGCTTTTCCTTGCTCACGTTAATAGTGGTTAACGTTGAGTGAGTTACAAATCGATAATGTTTGTGATCAATTTGTAACTTTTAAAACTTCAATGAGAAAAACAAAAATTTGCTCAAACAATAATGATCATTCTTATAATTTACCCTAATTATAATTGAGTAAGGGGGAACATTAAAAGGTGTAGAAAAGAAAGAGTGGAATGTCAATACCAAATAGTCATTACAACAATGAAACCATCATTATTATTATTATTATTATTATTATTATTATTATTATTATTATTATTATTATTATTATTATTATTATTATTATTATTATTATTATTATTGGTTTGTAAAGAGGAATATGAAGCCGTCACTCATTGTCCAATGATACATCAACTTCCCTCTCCTAATATTAAACAAATCATAAACCCTAATCCTATAAACTCACACTCATTTTAAAATAGTCTGCAAGTTTTATCTTGATTTTATTTCGAATAGAAAACATAAATATTTTGAATAAATTTCGCTACATATAACTCGGATATATTTTATTTTTTAAATTTGATTGTATTTTATATTAATTTAATTTTAATTATAATTGTTTAGACACTATATATTTGCAATTGTACTTATTATACTCATAAAATCCAAAAATAAAAATAAAAAAAATGTAAGAAGGTACTTTAAAATGAAAAAAAACACTTGTAATAACTCGGATATATATTTTTAAATTTATTATTATCTTATCTCAAAAACGTTATACCTAAATTTCAAATTTCTCTTAAATTTAATATGTCTTACTATTAGATTCGACATTATTATATACCTCTTTAAAAGTATAATTCAGATTTAATTTTCTGATAGGTTAAAATTTTATTATAATAATAAAACTTTTACACTTGAAAGTATAATTTTCAACAGAAAATAATTATCACTTTTAATTATTGATTGAACTAACCTGAATGGATAATCAAATAATATTATTTAATAATAGCGATAAGTTCATCGTTATTGGACCTCACATCAAAGGCAATCCATCAGCGTCGGCCTCACTAGTTTGAATCCGTCAAATTTTTTTTCTTATGTCATCAAAATTTGATAATTTGGACCCTCTCTCCGATTATTATTACTAATAATTTATTATAATCAGGGCTCAATAATTGAAATTTATAGACATTAATTTTTAAAATAATTGCTTTTATATGAATTTTAATTTAAAACTCTCTTAAGCATATCTTTAAATATCACTTTAATCCGTGTTTAATTATTAGTTCAGATTATTTGTTTGTTCAGATGATTTAATTGATGGAAATATCAGACCAATTAATTATTACCCCAAATTATTGAAAATAAATAAATAATTATGTTTAATTAATCATGCCAGCCGTGACCCTTGGATTTTTTTGGCATGTATTTTTTTTTACAATTATTATTATTTATTCATCATTATAGCCAATGAAATCAAGCTATTTGGTATAATAATAAAAATAACGAATTGTTTAAATATAGTACTGTTGAATTTGAATATTTCATTTATAACTTCACTTTTCTTGTATCACTGGTATACATTGATTGATCAAGTAATACGAATCATATAAAGATTTATTTTTGGGTAAATTACTTATTTAGTCACTTGATTATTTTGATGGTTACATTTTGATTATTCAACTATTTTTTTTAAATTCATACTTAAAATTACATTTTGATTACATGCCGTCAAAAAGTTAGTGATGATGTTGATATGTCACTATAAGATAATGTCATATCATCATTGAAAAAAAATAAAAAAATTTACGTCGGTAGTTCTGTTAGTTTTTTTAATGCTGAGTGACCAAAATAGAACCAAAACATAACGTTACATATAATTTTAAAAAAATGATTGAATGATCAAAACGGAATTTTTTAATGATTTGGATATTTACATACAAATTAGTAAATTAAACATATTAATATGATATTGATGGATCAATATTTGAGTTTTTTAAAAGTCAAATGAACTTTAGTTTGGTTAGCAATTGGTGTTGCTATATAAGGATATGGATTCAAGTGTGTAATATCCTAATATAAATCAAATGATTTTAGGGGTTAAAAAGATATTTGTTATTCCTAGAGATTTCGGGTTCGAGCACAACACATGTAAGACTGTTTGAACATTCATTGTCAAATGAATGAGAGTCTTTTGAATAGATATTATAATAAAAAAAGTTTGTAATTTCCTTTTATTTATTAGAAACACAAAATTGAATTCTTTATTTTTTTATGAATATAACATAAAATTACGTGTTGTCTTACTAATATAGCAAAAACTTGAAACTCTATTCTTTCGCAAAGAATAAAATATATATTTTTTGATTAAGTCTTAACTCAATTGATATTTATGGTGGTTGTAGTTTTTAATGTACTTAAACGTAGTGATTCGATTTTAAATATAAACCAAATTGTGATAAATATTCAGAGGAATTAAATGATCTAAATTAAAAATATATAAGAACTTCTTAAATACTTAGGTGACGTTTGGTTCGCTGGAATGTTTCTGAGGGAATTAGAATCTGTGAAGGAATTGGAATCTGAATCTGAAATCTGTTTTGTTGGCAGGAAATTGAATTGGAATTCAATTCCATATTTTGTTTGATTCACAGACATGTTAGATGAATTTGATTTCAGTAATGTAAAATGATAGAATTGTCCTTCTTGTTTTTTGCTTAATTTTAGTTTGTTTTATAACTTACATGTAGCAATATATTATAAAAATTTAAAAAATATTAAATTTTCATTTTATTGTTTGATTATTCATTTCAATAAATTATAAAAACCATACTAATAAACATCATAAGTTAAAATCATCCCAATTAGGGATGGCCATAGGTCGGGTTTTTGGTCCACCCGACCAGACCCGAGAACAAGAGAACCTCCACCTGAGGCCCGACCCGACCCGAATATATGAATTAGAAAATAGACTCGAAATAATAAAAAATATTTTTTATTCAATAAAAACAGTGACTTAATTTAAAAAAATTATATATAGAGAGGTATTATTGTAATTATTCTTAAATATATAGGTAAAATTATATTTTTTTTGGGTCGGGTCGGGTATTTTTCACCCTAAACCCGACCCCAACTCGTATATCACACTTAAAAAAATCTGACCCGAATATCAAAATTAAAAAAATCCGATCCGAACCCGAATTTTTTTAAAAAAAACACACAACCCGAATATCAAACTTAAAAAAACCCGACCCGAAACCAAATTTTTTAAAAAAAAAAATTCAACCTGATCCCGAATTTTTTTAAAAAAAATCCGACCTGAATACCAAAAAATTGATGAGGGTAGTATGATCAAATTTCACATTCCCTCCTCCAAAGAATTTCAATTTCATCATGTTATGGACGGAATTTACTTTCCTTCTCTTGATGGAATTGAATTCCAATTCCCCCTTTGAAAACTTGAACAAAAACATGGTAAAGTGGTGGAATTGGATTCCAATTCCCCTAATTCCAAGGATTCTAACGAACCAAACGCCACCTTAAGCTCAAATTTAAAGATAAAGATTAATTTATTTAATATTTAAATAGAGAAATTATAATTAAAACTAAAAATTAGGGGCTCAGGGCCTAACCACTTATGCTTTGGTTAGTCACTAGGTTTAATGGTTTAGGATGACGACGGGTAATTAAATTATTTTATAAAAATATATATTTACCCGGCTTTTATGTAACAATATCCCAATGATATATAATAAATATTATTTTAAACAAAAGAATCCATTTAAAAATGAGAGGTGAAAAGGGTGTTTTGGAATGTTTGTCTTAAGGATCTTGTCCATATATGTGTCATTAGAATAAGAAAATTGTTCACAGCAAATAGCTACCTAGATTTCTTGCAACTCTGGTTTTTCTTCAAACTTCACAATTATAAACACAAGCATCTTTATATATATTCATATTACAAACCAATTGCCTTCTTCAATATAGTATTTTTCAAGTCCCAAACAAAGAAAGAAACTCATACCATACAATACCATCTTCTATACCTTACATTTATTCACTCATTTCTTTTCTAAAGTATAGCTTTATTTTTTTTTTTTGTAATTTATTAAGTTTAAAGCCCATATATTCGAAGAGAAAATGGGGCTAAGGGACATAGGAGCAACGCTGCCACCTGGGTTTAGGTTCTATCCAAGCGACGAGGAGTTGGTTTGCCATTATCTCTTCAAGAAGATTGCCAATGAGGAAGCCTTGAAGGGAACTTTGGTCGAAATCGATTTGCATACTTGCGAACCATGGCAGCTTCCTGGTACCTCCTCCTCCTCCTCCTTCTTTACCATGCATGGTTTATTCTTTTGACTCTTTGGGGGTTAGATTTTCTTTAGAATCATTAATGGTGCAAAAGAAAACGAACTTCGTCGATATTAAGAAAACAAGCAACTGCTGTGTGTTTGAAAGACAAACAGACAGGGCTTGAGTTGAGTTCTTGTGATCTCTGGTCTACACAAGGCTCAGCCAAAAACACGTGGTGACATCTTAAGCCATGTTAGCTGTTAGAAACGACACCGCTGACAAATAAAACACGTTTCTTCCTCTTAAGAGGTAGAATATACATACATAATTTTTGTTTTTTGAGATAAAAAGTTTCAACAAAATTGATGTACTTGTGTTTTATAAAACCACGGTTTCATCTTTGATTTGTTGATACAAATCATTTGTTTTTCCCCCACAGTATGTATACATTCATGTATGTCTGAATGCAAGTATGTAGCTACACAAAATATCCCCCCTGTTTTTTTTTTAATTTTGGCTGTTGTAATCTTGTTCTTGAGTTGGGAGTCCAAAAATCGCGGTGTGGAAATAGATTTCAACTCATCATAATTGTCGTTTACTACTTATGTAGGAATCCATCTATCTAATATAAAAGCAAAACAATTTTTATACCTTTGAAATTGTTTACAATCAATGTTTATACCCTTAGATATATGATATTCGAACCCAAAATCTTAAAGGATCATAATAAATCTCTTAATTACTAACATCTCTTGATATGAAACAAAGAAAAACTCTTATATATTCATTTTCTCATTCAAATTTGATAGTTTAAATAAAGAATATCCTAGCATTTTTAAATTTTGTCCGCATTTTTCCTCCTCCTTGAATATATATACCATGTTAATTTAAAATCTTATATTACATCAAATTATTACACTAAAATTAGGTGTACGACCCGGATCAATTCGAATTAAGCAAGGTAAAATTTTGAGAACCAAAAGGACGATAAAAAAAATAGTAATCATAAATTTAAAACATAAATCATAAAAAATAGACAGGCCAAAGAAAATGCCTATATATCCTCTATATATGATTTATTTCTTTGGCAACGGCCAACACTTGGCATAAAACTAAAGTTGAATAAATAAACAAACAAGTAAATAAAACTAGGCACGAACCAAGAAACATCGATGATAAATAAATTGTTGTTATTAATTTAGGGTATGAATGTTCAATATCAAATAGTTGAGAGTAATATTTGAACAATTATTACCTTGCACTTATCTCATATTAATAAAAAAAAGGTCAATAAAGTTGGCATTTCACGATTATATATTTTTTAACTAACAAACTATGTATTTTGTGTATGCACGGGACTTGGATTAAATTAAAGAGGTGGCAAAGCTGAACGCAAGCGAGTGGTATTTTTTCAGTTTTCGAGATAGGAAGTATGCAACAGGGTTCCGAACGAATCGAGCAACGGTGTCTGGGTACTGGAAAGCAACAGGAAAGGATCGGACCGTGATCAACCCAACAACACAACAATTAGTAGGGATGAGAAAGACATTAGTGTTTTACCTGAACCGAGCCCCAAACGGAGTCAAAACCGGTTGGATTATGCATGAATTTCGTCTCGAAACCCCACACATGCCTCCTAAGGTGACTTTCATATTATATATACATAGTTTTTCTCATATATTGTGTATAACTGATGAGACTTTGGTCATCGCGTGACAGGAAGATTGGGTTTTATGTAGAGTTTTTCACAAGAGCAGGGGAGACAACACCGACAACAGTCCAATGATGATGTTGGAGACATCCACGTCTCACGGTCCTTCTTCAACAGACAAAACGAGCATGCATTGTGGGCATCAACTTCAACAAATAAGCAGCTCTTTATACTTCCCACAGACTCATCAAAGCCAAGGCCAAACCTTCCTAAGCCTGCTTCAATGTAGTAATTCTCGGGACAATTATCCCTACGGTAATGAAGTTAGCTCCAAAGTTGACGATGGATTCGAGTTCTTGTGGGGCATGGACATGGAACAGAACAGCTTTGGAGGGGTTACTTCCAACTTGGACGATATGGGATTTGATATTGATAACAATGGTGTGGTTTTCCTATGAAAAAATTGTTGTATATTTTAGAAAGGGGAAATAGAAGCCTACCATTTGTTGGTTTCTGATGTTGGTGTGATGTTTGTCTTGGATACAAATAGAATATTGTGTAATTTTGTGTAGGTTTTTTTTTGGTATTTTATTTTGGGCAGTGTAAAAATTATATGTATATAAAGCATATAGTTATTCTTTAGTGATCTTTTTATAAAAAATCCAAAGTTTACAAAAATTTCGAAGTATAGGATAGCATATAACAATTAGAAAATTGTTTTATTTTATCTGTGAAAATACACAAAAACCACTGTGCGATAAGTTCTCAATATTTCATAATATGTATTTAGTTTTTATCTAACTTGCATTTTTGCTGTCCTGATCTCATTTTCTATCATCCGACACGGAGAAAATACTTGTCAAGAGCTCATTAGGGATAGGGGTAGAGATTCATGAATAAGGGTGTTGATGGTAAGAACAAACACTCGAATCAGGTCGGGAAAGTATTGGTGTACGACCGAAATGCAAGATGTTCACATGATTTGGGTTCATGGTTTTACGCATAACATGAATGGTTCCGGCCTGCCTCGGGTTATTTTCTTTATCGAAACAATAATGGCAGATGGAGGAGGGAACAGGATCAGGAGACAACACACAGCAAAATAAACATAGCAGTGACAAGCATGGATGAAAGCCTCCTATGATGCCGTCTAGTTTATTTGGTGATGGCTTTAGACTTGATCGACAATTTGGTAGCTTTTCAAAAAAAAAAAAAATTGGTTTCTGAGCCATTAGACATGTCGGCTTTGCTTGTTGTAACTTGTAAGAAATTCACATAAAGAAAGTGGGAAAAATTAACAGGAAGCTAATCCACTAAAATCCAAAAGATATACTACATTTCTTTATCACTCTACTTCAAAATCTTTTAATTTTATTACTAACATTTAGAATTTTGCTTGTTTTGACCACTTGATCGTCAAATCTTTTAACGTCATTATTTTTCTTAGTAAATTTATACAAACAAATTCTAAATTTTTCCTCTTAAATTTTCGGACTTTGTTTGATTCGTTAACATCAAAGTCTTTCTTTTTAAAAAATTCAAAGAGACCAAGGAGATTGAATGGACTTTAAACATTATAAGATTAAAGTTTTAATTTGAGTTTTGCCAATCTTGAGAAAAATTAAACCATGAAGAAATAGGAGAGAAAAGATGATATTCTGATACCAGATACATTAAAAATGATGGTTGAATATTAAAATTTTAGGAAATAAAAACCCCTAAAACGCAGCATTTTGATGCTAACATTAGATACTGTCGGGCGACCAAAACGAGTGAAATTCTAAAATTAGTAGTGAAATTAAAAGAAAAATTGAGCGACCAAAACAAACAGGGGCAACGTACCAAATATAAAAATAATAACTCATATATGGAACGAGGGCAATCCGTGGGAATACAATGGACTCTTATGAATACAATAGACTCTTATGCATGCAACGGAACGATTTCTTGGCTAGGGCAACTTATAACGATGTTTATCCCACATCTAGGAAGATACAAGTGATAGACTCGGGCATGCCCTTTGCCATAGATACCAACTGCCCATAAAGTTACTTTTAACCTACTCACCATGTTAAATTTGGGTATTTATTCACTTCAATACTTGAAATTCAAAACATGAATCCGAAAGTTAGTTTAGTAAATTCATATAATTATCTTTAAAAGATAACATTAGCACATTTGAAGTCCCAAAGGCTTTTATGAGCAAACACCAACTTCAAGGTTTAATGAGCTAAGCGAGAAAATCTTATGCCTTTCCACAACATGTCTAGGAAACATAACATATTTTCCCAGTCATTCTTAATGGTTACAATTAGAATAACTAATTCTATGTTCAATTTCATATGAATAATAGGAGAAATCCTTGAACCCCTCAAAAGAGTTCCTCACACAAAACATAAGCATTATAATCACAATTCAACTTTACTAGTGAAAAGACACGAAAATCATATAATCACGTGTTCATTTACCAAGAGATCTCAGATACTGGAGAGGACAATGCAATGACAGTAACAATGTAGCAGGGCAATATGAAAAAACTAAGCTGCATACCTTATCCTTTGCTCTTGGTTTGTCGGGCTGAGACCATGCAATAAGGGTGACAGGGTCCCTTATTGCAAAACCAGGGTACAGAACTTGGTGATAACATCATACCCTTTAGGAGCTGGCACCTTCTTTATTCATCTGACCAAATGTGCTACATTTGATTGCAAGCACAAGGATCCTAAGGGGAAAATAGAATTTACGAACAGCATAATGAGTCTACAACTAAATTTAATGACACCCGACTGCTGAAGCATGTTGAGTACAGAACAACGAAAGATTGATTCCTCGAATGAATCTAAAAAAAATCCATAGCTTCCTGCCCCTTCGGAGGATTATTCAGCAGGTTTGTTATACATTTAATAATAAACAGAAAACAAGTACTATTAAAACCAAAATGGGAATCTCACAAGTCACAACTATCAAAATGCAAGTGATCTGTAGTTTTTTGCTTCATCATTAATTAGCCCGAGCTACTAAGTAGAGACACCAAATCACCCTTTTTCATTTTGGAAAACCCCTTTAACCCACGAGATTTTGCAAGCGCTCTGAGCTCCGGCAGCTTCAATGCACTCAAATCCTCATGTTCAATCTGCTGTTCTCCGTCCTCCTCGTCAATATCTGAAGATTCATCCTCTGACAACTCATCCAATACATCAGATTCTTGATAGATCGACTCAGGCTCAAGCTCAAGCTCATGCTCTGGCTCGGATTCAGACTCCAGTTCCTCCTCTACCTCAGGTAGATGATCGGCTGCAGGATGTGACTCTGAACTCGAATTTCTCTTCCTATCTGAATTGACATGTGTCACAGAATTGACGGTCTCCTCACTAGAATAATTTGTCTGATTTTTCATTTGTGGAACAGGTGACTTTCGTCGGAAATTTGATGCTGGCCTGCTTAAACTAGGCACATAGGATTCTTTTGTCTCGCTCCTCACTCTATCATTTGAACTAAAGAAACTGGAGCTTTTATCTCCATTAGAAAAGCCATTAACTTCTGGATCATCTAAATTCAAGTGTCTGCTGTTGCCATCACTGTTTTTCTTCTTACCTTGTTCAACCGAGTGCTTCCTCAATAGCTTAAGGAGAGAATCAACTGTTTCACTCTCTTTTCCCTTTCCCTGTGTGGCTTCAGTTCTCTTATATTCTTTAACTGCAGCTCTTTCTTGAAGTTTAGCTTGGACCTTCCTAAAAAGCTCCACAATCTCCTTCTCTCTCGGACCCGGGGCTGCAGCAGCTTGAAATTTTGTGGAAGCAGAAAGGGAGAGTAATGATCCATTTTTTGAAGATATCATTTCAGAATCTTCTAGATTTTCAAGATTCTCTCTCTCTTCATTCTGCCTATTCTTCCCTTGATATCCATGTCTTTGCCTCGAGAAGTCAGGGTTTCTCCTGTGACCACTAGAACCTGCTCTGCATACAACAGATATTCCCCTTGAACTACATTTCAAGGATCTAATCTTCACCTGTGAGCAAATTTGGTGGTGACTATTTGAAGAGCAAGGAGAAAGAGTCACTGCTCTTCCAGAAATGCCTGAGTAGGAGAGATATCTGCAGTCTGTTGGTCCATAACCTACAATAGATCAGATTCGAATGGCACAAAGTAAGTAAATAACCATTTACAAATAAATATTATCTGTGGGCCTGATTCTTTACCCATAAAGCACTTCTCAAATATCCAAATAACTTAAAACAACAAATAAATAACACACCGACAATCTAGCCAGTAAACTACATTAGGCAAATCCCAGAATCAACAGCAATCTTCACAAAGTTGCAAGCACTTTAAACGGGAACAAATCAAAATGAATTTTCAAACCAATCAAAGCATGCCTTCTTAAAATAATCTTCTCCGAGATTTGTCGAGGGTGTAATCAACCTTTTGCTCATAAATATAACAAATTTCTACTTAGATAATATAAAAGCAAAACTTCAACATTAGCTAAAATAATCTTCCAGATGCATAGAAACCTAAGAATGAAAACAACACTCAGCCCCAAAGTTTATTTATGTTAGCCGAGCTAACCCCCGAGTGACAAAAACAACCCCAACAAGACAGGACTATCTCCTCCTCTAGCTCATCAGAAATGAAAAATACTTATTGTAGATGCTAACATCAACTGTGTAATTCAGTGAACTTCGCTCTTCCAAAAATGCAACAAATAAAATAGAAAAGAACTACACTACATTAGAGACCACAAGAATACAGATATAAACAAATTTAACATGACAACATGAATTAATAATAGAGCCTTTCACAGAATCAAGCAATGAACAGCAAAATAATCTAAGGATAAGAATAATACTAGAAAATTTTTAACAAAAAGGAGGCCAAATAGAATAAGGTAAAACGAAAAACACCCATTAATGAAAAATGGGATGTGCGTAAAAAACACTCATTTCAGCCCTCAACCTAGAATATGGCAAACATTTCTTTTCATTTTATTTATTTATTTCCTGGGAACCAAACAAAAAAGCAAAGAATTGCAGGAAACCACACAAACCCAACGAAAAGAAAAGAAAATAAGATAAATATCTACCAGGGATGTTATTGGGAACGAGATGAAGTGCATGCGACATGAGTTAAGTTGGAGCTTCAAAACAAAGCGTTGTGGCGGTTTTGCATTCTCTTCGGCAGGGTTTCTGTGTTGTTTGTTTGATAAGGGAGGCCATTGGTAATTTGTCAATTTGCTTATTGGCAATTCTGGCTGGATAAAGGAATTAAGAGGCCTGCTGGCCGTACCTTAACCGGAACGGCCCAATTTGTTTAGGGTTTGTTCACGTACCTCACCATGTATACATGAATTTGGATGCTTTTTTTTATAGCTTTGTGCTTTATTAGTGAAGTAGTGATCTTGTAAAACAAAATTCTCAACAGAATCGTAATCAAATAATATTTAACCAATTGAGAAGTAAAAATAATATAATTTCTTACTATCATAATTTTTTTTCGATAGAAGTGATTAGTTATATTAAAAATTAAGAAATATTTGAAATTATAATGAGGATTTATAATTAATATAAATAAATAAATATATAATCTTATAATAATTGACACAAGATATTAGTGACTTAGGATCATACAAAGACCATACAAAGAAAATATTAAAAGTTTAACTAAAAAAATCAATCAAAGATAGATACGAACATATCTGACTGCACCTTCTAAGTTAAGGTTAATTTACTAAATTAAATTAAAATTAAGAACAAGTTAATTGAAAGTATAAGTATTGATGATCAAACGTTTAATTACATCAATTTTGTTAGCTACCACGATAGCACTTCCGTTAAATTTTCACGATAGGTGACTTGATTGAGACTACTTAAATAGTTATATGGTCATATTGTAAAAGTTCAAAGTATGGTGGTCATATTGACACCAAATTCATAGTTAAGTGGTCACTTGAGTAGTTTACCCAGTTTTAAGTGATGTTTGAACAAAATAAAACCAAATTTTTAGGTATGATTTTGAAATAAAAATAGTTAAGTGACCAAAACAGAATAAACATGATAGATGAAATACTAAACATGAAGTTCAAATTAAAGTAGTCATTATAGAGAAATGTAGCCAATTCAACAACAGTTTCTGAAGACTGAAGGCTTGTCTTAAAATCAAGTGAAGCTAGCAGACAAGAAACAAGAAAGCTCGGTAACTCAGATCCCGGCAAGCGGTTAATTTCTGTCTCAGCATGGAGCCCTTCTCTTCGAACAAGCTAACAAGGCATCAACGCCTCTCCTACTGAGTCGACTCGTTCTCCCTCTCCTCTTCGCTTGCTTTGCAGCCATGTCATTTGCCACTGCGTCCACAACAACTCCAAAACGACATCCTGGGTTTCTCTATTCTAGAACCAGAGGAAGATGCACTCCCCAGTGTAGACACATATTTTCGTCTGATTTTTATTTATATATACATATCTATATACTATATAGTTTACAAATGTTTTAAAATACATATAATATATAATATATATAATTTTGAGAATAGCTTTTTGAAAAGTATATATTATATGATATATAATATATGTTTTTTTCGAAAACATTTTAAAAATATATATAATATATAGTCTTTGAAAACATTTTGAAAATGTATATAATATATATATATTTTGAAAACATATAAATATAGTTTTGAAAAACATTTTGGAAATTTATATGATATATAGTTTTGAAAACATTTTGAAAACATTTATATATTATATAGTTTTTTAAAAAATATTTTAAAAATATATAATATATATATATATATTTTTTAAATATTTTTTAAAATCTATATATTATATAATTTCAAAAAAAAGACATTTTGGAAATTATATATATGTTTTTAAAATATTTATATTTATATATATATTATTATTATATTATTATTATTTATTATTATCATTTATTATTATTGTAATTATTTTATTTATTATTATTATTTCTTATTTAATTATTTTGTTCTTGTTTTTCTGTTCAGGGTCCAGAACGAGGTCCAAGCAGATCAGGTGGGCCTGACCTAACCCAGTTGCCAAGCTAGGGTTTCTAAAATTAGTCCCAGCGCCGCACAACTTACAGCCGTTAGATCAAGCAGTGATCAACGGCTCAAATCACATGATAACTAGGGTTCTGAATCTTTCATCAAATGAGCAGCCAGATCTGGACCGTTGGATCTGACCCAATCCAACGGCCAGAAGCAATTTCAACAGTCATAAGCATCAACCGTCACCGGAAATGAAACCGGTCAAACATGCAACAAACACGTTCCATAACAGAACGCAAATCTCGCAAGAATCGAGTCACAACAGCTCAGTCTCCCACAGGCCGAAAATCGCGCCACCACACGGGACTGACCCATCCCGTGAAGTTCGGTAACACTCACCGGCCGAGAGAGTATAAATACCCCCCAGACAGAACAGGACAGGGGGACATGATCAGAGAACACAGAACCAAGGGAGAACCCACGAGGCATCACAACCAAAAACTGAGAGCACAGTGAAATAGACCACCACGGTCGAACAAACCGAGCCATCACAAAGCCGTCAACAGAGAAAGCCAACAGTAAGCACATCAAACAACAGATAAACAGTCGAACCACAAACAGAAAGAAACGCAAAGCAAAAACCGTAAAAAAAACAGAAGGGAACCAAGAGGAGCCAAGCCTCACAACCGGAGAACCGCTGGAAGCCGAAAAGGTCGACGCATCAAAGGTGAAGGCCGAGACTTTCGACTTAGATCTACGCTAGTAGGGGTGAGTTTTGGTGTTTTGGGTCTCGGATTTGTGTATACGAGGTTGAGGGGAGTATTTTGCTAAAGGGTTGGACGGCGAGAAGCCAGCGGTGGTGGCACGGCGAGAAGCCAGCGGACTTTGACCGACCATGGGGAAAGGGAGAGAGCTTGGGAGCTTCTCTCGTTTGAGAGAAGAGGTCTGGACGAAATGTGAGAAATGAGTTGGGAGAGGGTCTCTTGGCCCATTTATATACCAGGGGCCTCCTTGCAATTAGAGGATTTTTTAATTCTCTCCGCAGTCCCTGGACGTTTGAATCGTTTTACAATCTGGTCACTGTATGCAATTTGGCCTCCGAATTTTCGATTTATTCAATTCAGTCCCTACTTTTAATTTACATTTTTTTCACAATTTGGCCCCTAACTTTTTTTTTATTTTGCAGTTCAATTTTAGTACCTGATTAATCCATCCATTTTAATTTGTTTTAATTTAGTCCTTTAAATTTTTTTCCTTTTTAATTTTAGCATTTTTTTAGTTATTCATTTTTACCTTAATTTAATGTGTTGTAAATAATTTATTACTTTTAAAATCTAGTATTTGTATTATTATTATTATTTTTTCCTTCCTTTTATTTATTCAATATTTACTTTTTTTTTTCTTTCTCTTTCCCCTAACAATTTTGACTTTGTAGAGAAATTCCAATTGATCAAAGGTGAGTAATTCGAATCGAGTAATTTTAATTTTAATTTTCTAATTTTCGCTATAAAGACAACCGACAAATTAATTGGTACCGAAAGGGCGGTTCAAGGGTGCTAATCCTTCCTTGACCGTAACCGACTCCCGAACTCGACACGTTTCTGGTACAACGCAGATCAGGTAAGATGGTGTCCGACCCACCTAAATTCGTTTTAAAGTGGTCGGTGGCGACTCTAACCACATTTAATCTAAGTCGAAGCCCAATTCCGGGGCCCAACCGAAAGACGGTTACGACACCCGGTAAGCAAAATAAATTTCTTTTATTTACTTGAGTTTTTAACAATTACCCAGAAAGCTACCATTTTTATCATATTGGGACTTGGTGAGTTATTCTGAATGTGCAGGTTCTGGAGAAGCAGGAGAGAGGCGTGGCCAAGGATGGCTCCAGAAACATCGACGGTAATGAAGGTGTTCGGGTCGAGAGCGGCGGAACGATATGGATGGGAGTTGACATTGTTGGAAGCAGTATATATGAAAGAAGAATAATGGAAGGCGTTCAATGAGTTGGTGAAGGAGGCGAGTGCGGCGTTGCTGAACTCGTACGCCAGGAAAGGGTTTCCTTTCTCGGCTTGGGAAGTGAATGAAGACTCTGATGATTCAAGGGTTAGTGTCGGAAGATGCTGCAGCTCACTTAACCCATCGCTTTTCCACTGCTAACGATGCTTGTCTTTAGTACCTATATGTTTGGGCCTACTCCATCACCCAAATGCTGGAACTCTGCTTTTGCTTTCGGTGTAGAAAATTTGAATTCATGTCTGTTGCTTACCTGAGAGTTAATTGTTTGTTTAGAATATTTAATTATTTAATATTATATAAAGGATTAATAAAAGAGTAAAGTATATAAATAGTCCCTGAACTTTTAGATCTATTACATTTTGGTCACTCAACTTTTGAAACTTGCAATATAGTCATTAAACTTTTAGTTCGTTTCTATTTCGGTCCCTGCCGTTTCCTTCCATTATCTTTTGCTGACGTGGCAATTAACCCTCTGTTAACTTTTTTTTTTGCTGACGTAGCTTCTTCTTCCACTCTCCCTATCTGACGCACACAAACACAACATAACTTGATTCCAAGCTCGTCTATGTGAAGCTTTCACCATTCTCATTTCTCTCAATCAATTTTCACACAAAAATAATAAAAAAGAACATGGCGGTTTCTGACTCTTTGGTTCGTCCAAACCAAACCAATCCCCATTTCCATTTCTCATATCTAAAAGATAAAAAATCAACCTGGTATATCCCTTCTTAAAACTGAAAACGAAAACACATTGAAAATGCTTAGCTTCCATGGCGATTTTCAGACTCTGAGAAAATAGATACTAAGTTTAGGAGCTTCATTACTATTAGGATTCATCATACAGAAAGCTTTAGAATCTCTAGACCCAACAATTCTCTGGAACTTAGCCCTCATATACATAAGCTCACCGTCACCGGCTCCGGCGTCTCGGTCACCGGTAGAACCCCAGCTCCCATGAAGATTAGTTCCACGGCTTTCAAAATGTTCCATTCTTTAGCCCCACAGTCCTTTCTGGTTGCAAACCAACATTTCTTTCCATTACAATAAGCTCTCCAAACCAGCTGTTGGAGTAATCTCGTAGCTTTTTTCTTATCTTCTTCTTCTTTCTTATCGCATTCCAAAGCAATCAGTACCAACCCGGACGCCATTTCCCGAACTAGACCGCTAATGGGGGTGCCGAGTTCAACGAGGAAAGCTGGTAGGGAATCGGGTTGTTTCTGAAAAGCAAAGTGGAAATGGCCACGTCTGGAACCGAAAATGGTGCTGATAACTGGAGGTCCGAGACCACTACCGAAGGGCGGGTTTAAACAGTTCTTCCCAAAAGAAATGAGAACAGCTCGGAGCATGGTAGTGGCGACTACTTGAAGCTTCTTCTTCCTGGGTGTGGGAGCACCACCATGGGTTTTAGGTTTAAGAGATTCTGCTTGGTTCTTGTGTTGTTGATCATTGGGGTTTAAAGATGTGTGCTTGAGTGTTAGCCTTGTTCGACATAGTCGTCGTCTTCAGTTCCAACTTTGTTGGTCTAGTGGAAATTGTGTATTTTGGAGGTGTCTTGAGAGGTTTTGCACATTAATGGAGAAAGAAAGAAAGAAGGAATAGTAGTGTAGAGAAAGAAAGAAAGAAGAAAGATGTCTATAAAGAGAGAGAAGAAGAAGAAGAAGCCACGTCAACAAAAAAATGAACTTAACGAAGGGCTAACTGCCACGTTAGTGAAATATAACGGAAGGTAACGGTAAGGATCGAAATTAAAACGAACTAAAAGTTCGATGATTATATTACAAGTTTTAAAAGTTGGGTGACCAAAATGTAAGTGAGTTAAAAGTTCAGGGACTATATATATATTTTACCCTTAATAAAAAAATAAATGCTTAAATTTTATCTTAAAAAATGTTTTAGTGCCTAAAGAAATTTTTATAAAAATAGATGTCTAACGTTTTCATCAGAACACTATTAGGTGCATAGACGGTAACGATAGTTAAATTTGGTCGTTAAATGACATGTGCAACGTTATGATAAAATTGATAATTTATTTAAAAAAATTAAATAAAAAATACTTTTATTAAAAAAAAACCAAACAACCCACGTCCCTCTTTTCCCCCTTCCCCTTTCCATGGTCGTCAGCTGGCCATCCGTGATCGTCACCTCTACTTTTATTGGCATTGACATCGACCTCCGATCAAATCCCCGTTGACCTTTCATCGTAAAGTACCACCGTTTTCCGTAGAGAAACGTTTAAAGGTTCATTGGATTTTAAGTCACTGTCACTGTTTTTTGTCGATTCCGATTTATCTCAATGTCCATAAGTCACACCACTACTACCATTCGAACCACCGTACAATTTTGATCAAAAGTCAACTATTCGACGATGATGGTGGTAGAAGATGGCCGACAACAGTTGATAATTGGGGTTGAAATGAGATTTTTTTATAGAGTTTTTTAATATTTTCATTAAAAGTTTGGGTTTTTTTTACAAATAAAATATTTTTTAAGTTTTTAAAAAATATTTTTTATTATTAAAAATTAAAAAATATAACGGTAAACACCTAAAAATATATTTGAAAAAATGTTAGGCATCTAATTTTAAAAAAAATTTATTTAGGCACCAAAACATTTTTTGAGACATTGTTTATTCATTTATTTCTCTATTAAGTCTTATATAAAATAGTTTTCATCTCAATTTTGTTGACTAATATAAGGTAAGTACAAGTCAATATATGTTCAAAGATAACTCTCAATTATTTGAAATTAAATGCTCACACTCATGAAATCAATGATGTTTGAATTCATAATCTCAAGAAATAAAAACAATTTATTTATCACTGAGATTGTTGGTTTGTGTATATCTCAATTTTACAACTTCAAACAAATAAAATTGTTCGAATTCGAGACTTTAAAGAAAAATAGCATTCCCTTTTAAGATTGATATCACCTAATGAATTATACAACATGATGACTTCCTGGGAAATCACCCATCCAAATATTATTCTCATCCAAACACGTTTAATTACGAAATTTTAATAAATTATGATATATTAATACTGATATGATCATATGTATTTTTTATCTCAATTTTATATATGAAGTATTTTAATGTAAATTACTTTTATAACTTATGAAAAAATACCCTTAATTCTCTAAATTTAAAGTTTTATTAGGTGCAAAACTACATAAACTAGCATAATTGTATTGAGATTCAATGATTTAACCTTAAAATTGAGTCAAATTTTAGATGGGGTGAAACTCTCCTAAATTTACGTGAAATCAAATGCGAGTTGAGAAATTTAATTTTTGAATCAAATTTGGATCTATGGCAATTATTAATTCAGAGAACATAATACATTTTTTTTTTTGAGGTTTATATGCATAATGATAAAAAAAATATGTTAGCATTCGCTAAAACATACAAGGAAAAAAATAAAAAAGTGAAAACAACACGATGTAAAATATTTTTAATTTTACATAGATTTAATAAAAATATATGTTTGGAAATAATTAAAGGAAGACTTATAAATCATAGTGATAAAAATCATCAAAGGTATTTTTCACGTTTTCAAGTTTCAAATTTACAGGAAAAAGAAAAATCAAAACTATATAAAAAGATTAACCTCCAAGAAAAAATGGGACAGCTCCAAGATTCAATGAAATCAAGAAAAAGAAAAAAAATACATGCAATCAAAAAGATTAAAAACCCCGACTCCTCGTCGTCAACGCATTTTACCTAGGACCCGAACTTTCACATGAACTTAAAAGCTGCTCCAAGTAATCAGCTCCTAAATCCTCGAACACAACCAAGTTCTGTTGTTGTAGTTGTTTTCCGACCACCTCGTTTCGTTTGCTTTTCGTGTTCTTCGTCGACCTTCTCCTTAAGTAATGCCCCTTCTTCAAAGCCATAACAGGGGAGCAACCCTCCTCGCATTCATACTTTATTTCCTCATGCGATTCCTTCACCACTTGGATTGGGAAATTGAGTGTAGCCAATGGCCCTCTCATCGCGAACGCCGCTTGATCGTAAGCTAAAGCGGCTGCTTCGGTGCTGTCGAATGTCCCTAGCCACACCCTCACACCGTTTCTAGTTGAATCCCTGATTTCTGCTGCGAATTTCCCCCACGGCCTCCTCCTTACCCCTCTGTAACTCTTTTCGGGTTCGGATTCAAGTTCAAGCTCATCCCGTTTGGCATCCGAAGTAACTTCTTCGGGTTCGGGTTTGCCTCCAGCCAATAAATCCATCCAAAGCAGGTCCTCTGCGTTATTGAAGTTGAAGAAAGCAGGATTGTACGGCCCCGGCGAGCAAAACGACGATTCAGGGGAGATTTCCGGTGTAGTTGAGTATTGAAAGAAAGAAGATTCGTCCATAATTGGGTTAAACTGTGGGGATATTTTCGGAGGTTGTTCTGTTTGTTGTCTCAGTGGCAACTGCTGACGAACTATGATTTGGTCTTGGAACATTTCAACTACCTAACCCTCTATATATACGAGCACGATAAATTTTGAAAAGTTTACTGGATAAGACTTGAAATGACGAATACAAATAAATTTGCCACCAACGATTAGTATTTTTCTTTTAATGGAATCCTTATGCAGATATTTAAATGTAAGATAAGTATTTAAATTATATAATGTTTTTATTTTAGTTGTTTAATATTTTTTAGTTTAATATATTAGTTTTTTTTTAAGTTTGATAGTTTTAGATATTATTAAATTAAATATTAATTATTTATCAATTAACATATGACACCAACATAACTAATAATTTACCAATAAATTGGTTCAAGTGATAAACAGTTTAATATCGTTTAAACAGATCTCGAGTCTGAAACTTAGAGTATGCAATTAGATTTTTTTACTAAAAATAATTGAACTTGTCTTTCTATAATCATTAGTGTAAAAAATTTCCAAGTTTCGTTAATAAATAAATGAATAGTACAAATAATTAAATAATTAATACATCAAAGTGTTTAAATAAGGTGGAAAAGCTTAGACAAGCCTCCAGCTCTAATTTATGTAAAAAAAAAACAACTTTGAAAACGATCTAAACGACATTTGAAAGGACAAGTACTCATGTGTAGTATTTAGTTAATTTTCCAAAGAAAGAAATAAAGAACAAATGTCATTCATGCAAGAAAGGACTAGAGTTAATAGTGGCAAGGGGCGTGCTTTCCGTATGTTTAATGCAAGAATATTGTCTACATTCGGACTGCCTAACTTACCTATCATGATCATATATTCATATTTCAAACTAGCTAGGTTCAATTTCTTTTTCAAATGATTAATATTTTTTATCCAAAACAATTCGTATGATTACCTTAGAGATATGTTCATGATTTTATACGAGTAATGAACTTATAAAATTTTAAGGAATGAAAATAAATTATAAATAAAAGAATATAAAGAAAGTATCTAAAACATATAAAAATTTAAATTTTTTTAAGAAACAAGCGTTCTGTTAAGCCCTCAATCTATTTCTAATTATCTTCAAAAGTTGATATGAACAGTAAAATTGTAATAATTCATTTTTAATCCAAAACCCTGACACTTGCTTATAAACAAGTGCTTGGTGGCGAATTAGGCCTTCAAAAGAAAACATTCACGTTATAAATTTACCCAACTCTAGGATTCATCGTACGTGGTCAGTTCCTATATGATACATTATAATATTTTTAATCCATTATCTTCTTCTTCTTCTTCTTATTGGCCCTTGACAACGACTGGTTATACCCTTAAATCTTTTGATATTTTCCAATATTACTTTACAGTCTACCCCGGGGACCAATCAAAGGTTTATGCTTAACTCCTATTGGAATATACAAATAAATTATTGGAAGATGGGTAATCGTTGAGGACTAATTTATTTATTTACCCAAACTTTTCATATTAGTTTAACATCAACTTCCATCTAATTAAATATTTAACTTAGCTAAATGGACCTTATCAAAGCAATCTATTGAAGATGCCAACTTTCCAGTCTGGGTTGTCTATGGAAAGAGGCGAAGTAAGAAATGCTGATAAGGTAGGACACGAATGCAGCTAGAAAATAATGGTCGAGATTGAAATATAAATTTTTGAGAGACTAAATGTAATTTTATTAATTGAAAAGTTTTAAAAGAAGTAAAATAATAATTTTATTAAACTAAGGGGCAAAGAACAAAATTATCATTTTAATAACTGAAAATTTTACAATTTTAGGGACTAACTGAACATTTACCAATCCAGAGGGCAAGCCCCTGCAAATCCACTAGAGCTGCTCGTAAGGTAGGAGTTGAGATATTTATATAAAGTACACGTATTCAAAGTAATTTTTTTCCCACATTATTGCTCTGTTGCAGTTTTTTCTTTCTTTCATAGTCGGCGGTTATACTCTTCCTTTGCGTGAAGGGTAGTGGCAGTAGTTTTTCCGGCTAATTCACTACCATTTCTTTCCTTCTTTTTATTATTTTCTGGGCATTGGCCTCTTAAGAAAGGACTATTCATGATGCTATCGGCCCCTATTTTCTGGGAAATCTTTATTCGAAATTGAATAAGTGATCTAATTCAGTGAAAGTTAATAGATATTGAAGATAATTTATTGTATGAAAGTTGATCGCATTGTATATATTTATTTATAGTGATGGATTTTGTTAGGATTCTTGCTATTTTGATGAGAGACTATAGGCCAAATTCAGATGTTTAAGATATACAATTGAAATTAACAAACCCTAGATTTCTAGCCAATGTGTAATTTGAATTGCCCATTAACTAAAACATGCCCTTCTTCAAACCCTACAAAACAAACCTCACTCGGTTCTTGGGTCTCTAGAGATGATCAACTAGTCTTAATTTCAACATTTAGGGTTTCAATTTTTTACTTTAACAACTTGTTACTCGGGAATGATTATAAAAGATTATCATTACATAGGGTTAGGATTCATTTATATAAGTGTAAAACTTTTTTTTAATTTTAAATTTGTTATATATATATATATATATATATATATATGTGAAAATAGAAAATTGAAATTAACAATAAAAGATCTTAAATTTGTGTAAAATTAAAATAATTTTACATAGTGTTATATAATATTATACTTGATATATAAAAACTTCAATGAATTGGAGCAAAGCGCCACTCGAAAATCATAGTGACCATAAGTAGTATTTTATCTAAAGTTTGGGGGTTAAAATAAAAATTAAATCATTTTACGAATATGTCACATCATCAAACTAACAACATTCAACGTCTTAGTGGCCACGTATTAATTAAAATGAAACGAAAGTGACAAAATCTTATGTTTTTTGAATCTAGTGACCATAAGTTTATAAAATTCAAATGAAAGTGACCAAATCTGTAGTTTACCCTTAAATTAAATACTTAAGCAGAGTATAAAACAAAGGTAAAATAGGTGAATAGTCCACTTTATTTTTGGTCTGACCGACTTTGGTCATCAATTTAAAAATTAAGGGTACATAGTCCCTATTGTTATCGATCTCTTTGATTTTAGTCCCTAACATTACCGATTCATTCGATTTTAGTCCTTTAATCGTTAACTTCCATTCGATTTTAGTCCCTCGGCTATGTCACATATTCATTAAGGGTTAATGGTGAAGGGGCTTAAAGCAGACAGATTGATAATATTAAGAATCATTTATCCTTCATTTTTAAATTGGTGACCAAAATCATACAGACTCTAAACAAAAGAAATTATTCACGTAATTTATCCATAAAACAATAGCAGAAATATTTATTACATAATGATTTTTAAAACATAATTGTCGGGTTTGAAGTTGAAGCAGCTGTTTAACATTCTCCATTGTACTTTTGAAGGTGACAGACATGCGTTATCAAAGATTCCATTAATCTGTACCAACTGATTGGTTTGCACCAACAAATTAAATCGTTCATTCATTTTAATTTCAGATTCATTAAAGCTGTCGTCAGGGAAAGCATGGATTTATTTTAAGGGTTTTTTTCTCCTCATCTTCCGATTTTGTTTTTTTCCCCCTCACGGATAATTAATTCACCCGACCCTTCTTTGATACGGTTAAATCTTTGGTTAAATATATTCACATATATATATATTCCAAAATTATTATAATATATGATTTGTTTATAATGTTTATAAACATTAATAGTGTATACATATCTTATAAATACAGTTACTCAAACATATGATCTTAAACAAATAACTTCTCTTTTAATTATTAAAATCATTTAATAAATTTTAATTACAATATATATAAGGACTTTTAATTATTAAAATAATTAATAAAAGAACGAGGCAAACATCTAAGATCAAGATTTGGATGGAGATGCTAATAATAAATAAATGTAAAAAGTAAATAAATAATTAGTTTAAAAAGAAAAAGTAGATGAAAGGTACGGATGAATGTGTATGTGTAGATATGTTCCAGACATACATCCACGAGGCATCTCTTTAACTCCTCATTCATTTCCTTGTATATTCATTTGCCTTTGTCCCACCCCAAGTGCCCCCAATCATAATATATACTATTATTGTCTTTATTTTTATTTGCTGTACATCTTTTATGTTTAATGCATTATCTTCTTAAATTAAAAATAATTGTTAATAGTGATATAATTTTATTTTGATTGGTATCATTGTAAATGACATATGGATTTATATTTAAATGTACTTCAAACAATGGTGTCATCCTTTGTATTAGTCGTTGATATTCTTTATTTTTTTATTATATTTTTGTTTTTTTTACCTTTTTAGCTTTAATAACTTTGTCTTTATATCACGTTTTTTCCTGTATATATTGCACTTTTTTGTCTTTTAATATGTCTTTGATCTTCTTCATCAGTCATTTGATTATTTTTTTGTTTACTTTTTCTCATGGTTAGATTTGACATCCTCTTGATTGATCAAGATATCGCTTATTTTTTATCATGTTGATCTTTCATACTTTGAACCCTCAGATTATATTTGGATACGCAATTTGGTCTTTCAATTATATTTGTTCGTATCTATATTTTGTTTGTGTTTTTTTGTTGGGTTTTCAATCTTTTCCTTTTGTAGTCTATGTATGATCTCAAGTGACCAGGTTATTATGACAATGATTATAAGGAAATATTTTAATTATGTGTTTAATTTACGATTATAGTTGTAAGTCTTCATTGTAATTCTAGATATTTTCTCTTTTTAATGAAATTAGCAGCTTCTATAGAAGAATATATTTCAAATGAATCATCTAATTATAAATCGAGTAAACATAAGTTTAGATAGTTTATATATTATATAAAAATTATTAATATTATTTTTTAATAATTAAATGGTGTTTTTTCAAATTAGAATGTTAATATAGATATATGAAAATATACGTGTAATAATATTTTAATTTGTACATTAAGTTAAGGGGGCTTTTAATTTTTAAAGAGAAATTAGAAGTTTGGATGGCTTTAAAGCTGATTATTGTTCTAATTAATAATAATATACATC